AGCGTAAACAGTATCCATAATATAATATATTAAAGAAGAAAAAAAGGGAAAGATACATTTTCTCCCTGTAAAAATTCGAGCACACAATATTCCCTCTTGTTTCTCGCGTGGCGTCATTTTTGTCGAGGGCAACTCATTTTTCTTTGAGCTGTCTTTGATATTTTTATTTCTATATTGTTAAATTACATGTGTAACCTAGATACTTCCTTGTTCCACTCATTATAATTATAACCAATCAACTCTATAAGGAAGTTGTTTCATTCGCGGTCCAGTCGTGGTCTCTCTTCTCGTGTCTTTGTAAACGTTCTCGAGAGTTAAAATTTCACATCGACCTAGATTACCCATTGATAAAGCATAATAGCCCTATCCAAAGTTTGAAAGATAAAATTCAAAGGTTTTTATAATTCGCTGTTGCATCCAGACGATGAGAGTACGGTTCTTGTAAAGGGACGCTTTTCACGAGTGTCTCCATCTGTCTGCTGGGATGTGTATCCGACTTCACCTGGGTCGGCCTAGGAAGGCAGGGTCGAAGAAGACGGTCTCCGGAGAATTTGAAGTAGTGTCTATTGCGAATGTAAAACACGTTACAGTGAATAAATCATTGGCTTTAAAGTAAATCAAAGTGATGTCAGCATGCTTCCTGTAAAGTTCATGTCGTAAACTTGATTAGAACCCTCTGAAGCATTCAGTCATCTAGTTCTATAAATCTAGGCCTATCTATTGGTTCTAATACCTTGTGAAAGGCGATTTGGGACACATTCACCTGTTTGTTTATCCATTATATTTTTTATTAGAAGATTTAAAGGGCAAAATATAAATTCAACGTATGGGAGCTAAACAGATCTAATAGTTTGCCATTCAGTTTGCCATTCAGTTTGCAACTACAGCAAACAGAACATCTATTACATCACACATTGAAATTTTCATCATTTGGCGAGTCTTTGACATTGTCATGTTTCCTTTCGTATGGCAGAGCTCAAGGGTGTGTATTTGAAAGATACAAAGGGGAGGGGGGGGCAAACTAGGTATATAGTAAGTATCATATTATTATTGTTATAGCACTTAATTCATTAAAGTTGTTAGCACTTTAAATTAGTTTTGGTAAAATAAGGATTATTGAAATTGAAAATATCCCCCCGATTAGAGATTGTGTTTGAGGTTAAATGTAAATATGTCTTCTAAAACTCTTACTAGTTTTGGAGAAGAAAAAAATCTAAATCAATGAGCACTCTGGGTGGATTTGGAGAAGATAGCCTCAAAAACCGATTTGTGAGCAGCAAAGTCCCGAACGAAAATAGTGTCACTTGAAAACAAACTGTTCAAATGTTGTAGACTTAACTCCAGCGATTAACAGGATAGACTGAAGATTGACCACTGCGCGGTGAATTCTGTTAGAGACAATAACGATTCTGTTGTTTAGATAATTTGCTTGAAAGCTAATTTTTGAAAAACTGAGAAAAGCAAGCAACAAATAAAAGAAACAGGACACCTCATTGTTAAATCACGTATGTGACGTTGAAGACTTCTAATTCATCTACAAAGCTACCAGTGAACCGCAAAGCCGTTGCAACAGGTTTCTTGGTGGACAGTTGTCAGGGCGTTATTTTTCAAACGTTTAAATGACATTCCCATAGTTGTTTCTTGTGCTCCTGGACTGAATTTTGCTTTGTGTAGTGGTTTGTGTTGCACGATTGAGCACTGGTCCAGGGCTGTTTCAAAGTAGTATGCTCATTGCTGTGTAGACATATACATTTGCATATATACATGTATATGTTCCCCAAAACTGGTTCGCTGCCATTTTCTACTGGTTTATGTGGAAAGATACAGAAGGTATAATTACAGTTTGTAAAAATACTCATTCTAAATTAAGGGTCAAGATGTTTTCATTATGGCTTTGTTTGAATCTCTCTTGAATCACAACTTAATTAGATCTTTCCTGGATAACGTAGAATAAAACATACAAACAATGAAGAGGTCTGAATCCAAGAAACAAGCAACTGTCATGCTGTATACTGATGAGTTTTTAACATCAATTGGAATTTCATTTACGATAATATTAATCACTGACAAAGCTTCATCTGACGCAGGATGATCACTACAACTAAAATAAGACAGACTCTTCCTTATTTTAAAAGGAATCATGGAGTCTGGAGATTGTGGTTCAAAATCTAAAGATTCTGCATTCGGTTTACAATTCTGTTGGGCGCTCATGTCTCTGTGGCACAATTTATTCTGGGCTGTTTACCCTAGATGACGTCTAGAAAGTTATTTCCGCTGACAACCCAGCAAAGAATTTGCATTTGAACATTTAAAATTAGTAAATTCACTTTGATGCAGTTCAGCATTTTCATGAATTGAAATTGGCTCTAAATAAGTGTATGCAGACGTGTTGTAATTTATGCGTTCTACGTTAGCATAATATTATGTTTCATGTGTCTTTCACCGTAACGTCCACCTGGACAAGAATAAGTACACACCCTTATCTACCCGATAAACATTTTCTTTTTTAAGTAAACATTTTTAGTCGAAGCGGTTTATATATTTTTTAAAGTTTCGTTTTGTTTTGATTGCTGTTGTTGTTGTAGTTGTTGCCGTTGTCATTGTTGTTCGTGCTGTTCGAGTTGTTGTCGTTGTTTGTTCGTTTGTTTGTTTTTGTACTTAATTTTGAGGTATATCAACTATTCAGGCTTGATAATTGATACAGTAGCAGAATTGATTGTAAAGTACTTCGGGAACGTTTATAAAGCTTACCTTTAAGACTTTGCTTCAATTTTAATTTAAAGAAGATTTATACCTAGAAATATAAAAATTATTCTGCTTTTCCATATTGATGTTTTAAAGGTGAAAGAAAGAGTACCTTTACGGCAGCCGTTTTTCTTTCGAGGTCCGAGTCTTCACATAAGGAGTTATTGCTCATGGTTGATCTGTCATTTTGTGTAATCTAGTCAATTGATTGGTGCTGACAACTCTTCAAACACTCTGCATTTGATTCTTTAAGATGAGTAAACTTGCTTTGATGCAGGGCAGACGCTGTGCTGACCGGAATAAAAAAGCAACATTAATAGATATCCATCTGTGAATAGTTGACACCAACTCCCTTCCTCTTTTTTGCTCCATATATTATATATAACCATTTATATAATCAACCAGTCATCCTATCTACCCCCCCAAAAAAGAAGAAAAATTAAAAGAAGAAGAAATTAATATTAACAACAACAAAAAACTGAAATAAAAATCAGTGAAGTAAAAAAGAAGCGAATAGATAAAATTAAACACAACTAAATATCAAAATCTTGAAATAATAAAAAGAAACCTGGAAAGTCAAAAAAAAAAGAAGGACCGCAAAAAAATAGAAGAAGAACAATTTCAAATAAAATCTACCCTTTTGTCCTGTCAGTGTACTCACGGAATAAAGAAGTGCTACGAAAGCGCAATTTGAGATGTTTTAAAGCAGTAGTAGCTAAGAAATCTGACACAGGAGAGGGAATTAATCCTTGTAACACGAAGAAAGCAAAAGACAAAAAAGGCGGTAAAAAATAAATGAAAATGGCACTATAGCCAAAACACACAATGGACAGCATCAGGCGACATAGTGGGCTCCATGAATACTCACAGTAAATTCTAATCCAGCATTTGCCGAGGAAGTCCTGTCACACCTTTGGGGTATTTAGAATTTAGAATTTAATATGAAATGTGTTATCAGCAGGCTTGTCTGCCGGCCAGCCTGCACAAAAAGGTATCAGCATCATTGGATTCTCAGCTCCCTTGTACTCCGTGGATTCTTTCTTCTCCAACATCTCTCTCTGTGAGTCAGTCCACAGACCAGTCTCTCTCTCTCTCTCTCTCTCTCTCTCTCTCTCTCTCTCTCTCTCTCTCTCTC